CCACCTATCTCCTGTGCTTGGTGGGAATGGGGGGGTAGGAGAGACAGCTGGGCTGCTGCAAGGAGCAGCTGTTAGGTTCACTGCTTTGTTTCTGAAATTTCCTGGGAGGATAGCTTGTTTATTTCCTTAGAGGCTGAAAGCCCAGATCTAGGGCAAGGTGGGGCCCACCTTGGCTGAAGGGCTATGGAAGGGCGTTTCTCTTTGTGAGGTTTTGGATTAATAGTATATGTTAAGCTGTGTACTCCTTTCCTCTAACCCTCTCCTCCTCCTCATTTATAAAAACAAAACTGCAGACTGAGGCTGTGGGAGGTGACATTTTTTTGTTTCTCAGAAGTCCCTCATGAGGCAAAGTAGAGAAACAGAAAGAGGGAAACAACTTCGTGTCGAAATGTAATGAAGTTTTGTGTGTGTGTGTGTGTGTGTTTTGAAATGAGGTGGCTTGTTTTCAGTTTTAAGGAACAACAGCTCTACAGAGGAGCTTGGTAACGGTGGGGAGGAGCAGTTGGTCACCTGCTTCCTTGCCTCTTTCCCCCACAAAGTTTGGTAGTTGGGGTCAGGTCCCAACAGGATATGGGTCTCTGTGTCTTCCTTTCTCCGGCGTGAACCATGAAGGATATGAAAGAAAAACTTCTAATACAGAATAAGGATTTGGTAAGCAATCCCTGATATAGGTTATTTAAAAAAGAAATGCAGCTGCATTGCTTTTAAGTACAGAATATATTAACATAACACACCACTGTGAGTGATAAAGTTTGTCCGGAAAAAACCTGTGACTCAATTAGTAATACATAAGCCTGTGTTTGCATGACAGTGTACCTTAAACAAAGACCACGTATATTTATTTTAATTATTTCCTTGGACCCAAATACTGAATACATTTGAAAGGATTTTTAATTCCTTGAAACTTTGGGTTGAAAAATAAAATTTAGACAGGATTTTCCTAAAATGCTGAAAAGTCATGAAAGACATTTGAAAGCAACAAGAAAAACAAAACCATCCAAGGTCTGGATCACTGTGGTCCCAGTTTCTGAGTATTTTATAGAAGGTGCCCTGTGGGAGTGAAGCTGAATAAAAGAACAAAGGATTTAGGTAGAATTTTAAAAGTGAAAAGGCTAGACTAGGTCTCAAGCCTTAATTTTCTCCCCTGTAAACTAGATTTAACAGTACTGTCTTCCCTGTCTTATTATTGTGAAGATTTACAGACAGGATATAGACAAGTGCTTTACCTTAAAGCACTAGACAAACGTAAGGAATTTCCCTCCAAGGTTTACTCTATTAGCCATTTCCAAGTCGACGACTTCCCTGGGAGAAGCCACTAAGAACCAGGCATCAGGAGATACGAGGCTAAATTAAAAGGTTCTCCAGCTGTATTTTGAAGCTCAGAGGGGACACAAACAGGATTTTCTATGGCTGGGCAGAGCAAAAGTCCAGCCAGATGGAAAAAAAATTCCTAGGGTCAGTAAACTACCTGCCTGCCAAACCTGCCCTAGCGACCGGTTTTGTATGGCCCGCAAGATAAGAATGGTTTTGCATTTTTAAATGGTTGAAAAAAATAACGTGTGACACGTTAAATTTATATGAAATTATAATATCAGTGTCATAAAGTTGGACTGGAACACAGCCACGCCCATTTGTTTACATATTGTCTGTGGCTGCTTTTGTGCGGCAACAGCAGGGCTGAGGAGTTGCAACAGAGCTTCTACGACCTGCAAAGCCGAAAATATTTACTCTCTGGTCCTTTAGAGAAAAAGGTTGCCCACTCCTCTGCTAGAGCTAAAAAGGAGTCCTATTATGTGACGAAAGAGGCAGGCAACCAAGAATCGATAGAAGGGAGGGGAGGGAGGAAAAGATGAAAGAAGGGGTACTCTGGTTCCAGGGGCAGACTGACTGCCCCTCCCATCAAGGGCAGGGCCTTTGCCACCTTGCCCTTTAGCCTAGGGATCCCAGGGACACAGTCTGCTCCTTTTTTATGAGTAGCCCCACCCTCTTTCCCCCAGTTTCTTTTCCTCCTCCAACTTCTGTCGAGCTGTCTCTTAAAGAGATTCAGGCAAGGCTCAGGAGTACAGCACCCACGCACATCCTAACCCCACCCTGGGACCTTCCTGAAAGTGAACTCATCCCTCTTCTAACTACTGAGGTGCTTTCCCAGGCCACTCATACACAGTTCTCTGGGGCCCACTGAGAAAAGGCTCCATCTGTCTGGTTCCTGGCCATCTCTGCACCTCCCCTTCAGCTCATGTGGCTGATTGCCATGGCTCATGCGTACCTTGTTATGGACAAGTCATGCACATTCTTCCCTCAGATCCTGTCTACCTTCAGACCTCAGCCCTGAAACACCCTCCTCTAAAGTTTTCCCCAGTATCCTGGGTCAAGGAGCCCAAATTCAGATTCAGGATTTGTGCTGTCTAGTTTGAGGTTAACCCAAACTGTTTATCTCTCTTGTTGACAGACTTAGACTTAGGTACTTTCCTGAGACTACTTCCTGTAGAAGGTGCCTCCCACCCTTTAAAGCTGACACCTCTTCATCACCTGCCTGTGACAAATAAGCCCCCTCTTCTCTAACATCCCCACACAGCTGCCTCCCAGCACCAGAGATTGCAGGGATGTTGGTAGGAGAGAAGGTGGGAACGTAGGAATCTCCAGCCTCACCCCACCCCCCAAACTATAATCTCTAGCATGATTCTTCATGGGTCAAGGAAAGAAGAGTTCTCCCTGATTCAGTTGACTCTGGTGGAGGAGGGTATTAAAACGAAGTCTCTATTTGTAAAACTGGGGAGAAGGGGAAAGCTCTGGTTGGAGAGAATCTTGAGGGGAGCGTCTCCTTGCATTTTTTTCTCACTCTAATCCTTCTGCCCTCCTCCTGCTTGAGGTCTACCCAGATCCTTGACCTTAGCGCCACTAAAGGGCTCCTGAGAGAGGGTGCCTTAAGGCCAAGACACTCATGCCATTGGCTGGCAACTGGGTTCCTGTGCTCCGCTTCAGTCCTATACCAGAGAGTTTGACTCATATCTATGTGAGTAGAGTACAGGTCTCCACAGACCCAGCCCTGCAGCTGTGAGCACCTGCTTGCAGGGAGGCCCTGGGGTTGGGGAAGTCTAGGAGCTAAATTTAGTCTGAAGGCTGCTGCTTAATTGGGTGGGTAATTACCCTGGGGAAGCTGGGAGGGGGGAGGGGAGAGGAATTCTGACCCAGCTGAACTGAGACCTCACAAGTTCACTCCTAAGTACACTCATAGAGAAGCACAATCCCCTTCCCCCAGCACTCAGAAATGAGGAGCCCTCAGCAATTTGCTGGCCTTCTGCATGCTTGATCTCTCTTGTGCATATCAAGATTGTTCCTATCACCATCCCACCCCCACCTCAGTTCTCAGGGGTCCAGTTCCTCTAAGTCCTTCCCTAAACTCCCCTCAGTGCACCAAACCTAGGGGCCCCTCCACCACATCTCCTGGGCCTTGGGTTGCAGCTTCCTCTCTCCCAAGGCCCTCCAGATGGTTTCAGAGGTCAAGAAAGAGGTGTATGGCCACACTACTCCCCCCTAAGGAGCCAGGGAGGAAAAGGGGTTGCTTGGGGTCAGGTTCCCCTTCCTGAGAACTTCCACATTGACCCCATACTGACTTCAGTGACCAGAGGAAAGACTCCTTAGGGGTGGCACTGGCCCTTAGCTTTAAAGTGAGAAGGGAAAGGGGACAAATCCCCAGATGAAAGCCCACCTCCTTGAAAGTCAGAGGCTGGAGGCCGGGAGGGAGCTCAGGGGCTATCAGAAAGAGAAAGGAGGTGCTGCAGCTGGGGGAGCCCTAAGAGGGGCTGTGGCTGCTTTCGACACCTGTGATTGGTTCTCAGGCTGAGGCCAAACTCCAGCCTGCCCAGCAACAGCCCTGAGAGGCTCTGTAAGAGGGAGGCGGAACTTTGTTCGGGGAAGTCAGCTGAGAGGGGCCACCGCCCCGGCCAGCAAAGCTTCCAGGAATTGCTGGGGGAGGGCCTCCCTCAGTTTTAGGACTCCGCCTTCAGTTCTCAGTATCTACAGGGCTGGCTCAGGTCCCACTTCCCTGTTCCCCACATCTTTGATCCCCTAACAGGTTCACCAGAAAGAGGGACACGTCTGACACCTCCTCTAGGTTGGGCAGAGACACTGAGATGGCTTTCCTTGTACCCCCTTTCCTCTCTCCATGCTCTGGGCTAAAGTCAGTTTCATTTTCCTTTCCCTCCATTCCCTTTACCTCCTTCCTTAACCACTCTCCTCCCAAGGTGTTGTCCAAAGTCTTCCTTCTCAGCCACTTCCAACCCAGGGAAAGCCTGGGCAACAGTATGATGTGAGGGAGCTGCCAGAGTAGAGAAGTCTTGTCTCCTCAGGCAACTCTGGTGTCTTGCACAGGGTGTGGGTGTGCTCAGGAAATAGTAGTCACTCAGTTCAACTGTTGCTGCAGGCCTTTATTAATGGTCTTCCTCAGCCAGACTTGTGGAGGTGCAGGAATGGGGGGAAGGAAGCTGGTCTGGTTCTGTTGCACTGCCCTCCTTCCTAGGCACAGGGACCCCTGGGAAGTATGGCTTCCAGAAGTGGAGACCTGGATTCAGACCTCAGAATTGTAGGGGTCAGGGAGAGGATGGGTATTATGGGAAAGGCTGTCCGTTCTTACACCACCTCTAGCAAGCTATTTACCTTGAGAGATGAAATGGGTGGGGAGGGAGGAGACTATGGTGAAACATCTCTGAAGAATGTGTCTTTGGCAGGACATCCTGTACTGCCGCGGCTGCTCCCGCAACTACACCCTCCCAAGTCCCGGAGAGCCAGGCAAGGCCCCGCCTCTCCAGCGATTACCGCTGAGAGAATGGGGGGGGCAGAAATCACTTCCTTTCCCCTCACCCAGTGAAAAGCAATAAACCAAGAGCTTAATAAGGAAATGGGTAATAACAGAAAGGATGGGGGAGGCAGGAAGGCAGGGCGAAAGAAAGGGAACAGGAAAAAAGAGTCTTAAAAAGCCAGCTGCCGTTCAGCTCAGCCACAAATTGAAAGAAGTGCTACTAGATTCCAAGAGACTTGACAGAAAGCCTCAGCCTACCGAGAAACCCACCAGAGACCACACAGTTTTTTCCTCGGCTCCAGACCCAAGCTCCCGACTCCATACCTAAACTGGGAGAAGTGGTGACCTCTAGTGGTCAATGACCAACCTGCAGGGCCAGGGTCAGCCAGGATCCTGTCCCTCTGACCAAGGCGGTGACTGGGGCTCACTCATTAGCCTTTCTGGGCCCAAACTTCTCCGCCTGGGCTCTGAGTGCTGTTCCCCTTCCCACCCTTCATTCTGACCTCACATTGCTTGCTTAGGTGGCCCGTATGGCTGGGTTCCCATGAGGACAGTAAACAGCCTGTTTCTCATTTGTCATAATCATCTTTAATAAAAAATAAATTAGTTCTGGGGTGGGAACCGTTTTAGGAGGTGGGGAGCGGAGCAGGGGTTAGGGTATCTTATTCTAACTTTTCTCTTTTCCTTCCTCTGCCCAGCTGGTTCCTGCTCTCAGGAGGTAGGCTCTCTTCCTGGGGTAAGGCAGGATTGGCAGTGGCTGACCCCCCATCCCTAGCTAATTATGAAAGGTAGGGACAGAGAGACTAGGTAAGGGGAGATGGGGTCAGAGGACAAAAGGGTGGTTTAGAAGATACGAGGCCTGAACATGAGAAATGAAGTTTAGGGCACAAAGTTAGGATTGATGCGGAAGCCAGTCGCTAAGCAGCTCAGATTACTGAGGAGCTGCAAACTTGCTTTCCTCTCAGCCCTGAAAAGTCTCAGGGACACAGGCATTGTCCCCTCTCCATTCCTTCTCAGTCTGTTTAACTTCCTTTTGAGAAGTGATACACACATATGAGTGCACACACATCCGTGCAGGCCCAGATACACATTTGGGGGCATATGTGCACACACACCATCACACCACCACACAGACCCAACCACACGTCTTGATAGTCACTGTCAGTCACCTTGCCACCTTCAACCATCCTGGGGGACATCTCTGGTGAGACTAGGACAGGCTGGAGAACCAGAGGGTACAGAGTGAGCTGATTGATGAGTGACTGATGGTAGCATGAGAAAACCACGAGGAGAGGGTCTCCTGGACCCATTTCAGGCGGGCTCCGGGGGAGACCGCTCCAGGACATGGGCACAAGAGCGGCAACAGGTGGCTGTGTAGTAGGGATAGACGCAGAGCCGGGCCTGTACCACCAGGGGGCAATGTGGAGAGCTGTCCTTGCATTGATCATCTGGGGACAGAGGAGGCCAGTGGGCACAAGATGTTCAACAAGACCCATCCCTCTGGAGGAGTGTTGCCCACTCTCACTGGTCTTTTCTTATCTCCACCCACACTTCAGCTAACTTCACTCTATTGGGGGTTGGGGAGAAGGAGCTCTTTACCAGGGCGCTGGCTGCAGGGTTGGCTGTTACAGGGTCGTCTCCTGGAGGGCCGCAGGTGAGGAGGGCATCGGATGCCAAGGGTCTGGTTGGCGGTCAGGCACTGGACCTCCCTTGTCTGCATGCCCCCCTGGCAGGAACGAGAACACTGGGGAGACCCCAGCTTTCATATCAGACCTTTGCTGTGCCCCAGGCTCCTCCTGAATCCTAGGTCTTCTCCTCTGAAAGGAGTGTGTGTGGAGCATTAGGAAATCCCACATGGAGAGGGGCCACCTGTCCTCCAAGTCTACAGGAAGTGGGACAATATTAAACCACAGCTGGCCTTATCCTGGGGCATAGAAGGGGGTACAGTGAGAGAAGCCTCCCCTTCCCTCAAGTCCACACTGAGCAGGGCAAGGGAGCTAGGCACTCACCGGACTCCAGGGTGTGGAAAACCATCGGTCCTGGCAGTCCTGCCCCTGACAGGGCTGCAGGGCAGGGGGCCTGGGCAGGTGGGCACAGTTGCTAGGAGATGTCACATTGAACTCAGCCCCCAGTTTGGACACACAGATGATGTCTCTACGCTGTGTGCCAGAGCCACATTCTGAGGAGCACTGACGTAGGGAAGGGTAGGGTGTGTAAGGGGGAGAACAGGGATCTCCCAGTTGCCCACATGGAATCCCACTGAAGGGCACCCCCCTCCCAGGCTCTTAGCTCACCTCAGTCCAGGGCCCCATGTACCAGCACCATGTCATCTCACAGGGCCTCAAGCTGCAGGCACGCATGTCAGGGGGGCGGCTTCCTGGTGCACAGCTCTGCTCACTGGTTCCTGCTCCCACTTCCTCCTGGCCCACCCCATGGGCCTCCCCACTCCCAAGGCAGACCACAGAACGTCGCTGGATTCCTGTCCCACACTCAGCTGAACACTGTTGAGAAGCAGAGCAGGCTGAGTGAAGGGAGGCTGCTGGTGATGAACAGGGTAAGAGCAGGGGGCTGAGGACAGGCACGTCCTGGATCTCAATCCCAGGAGTTAGGGAATGCCCCACGGGTACCAGCCAGATAAGGGGAACCTTTGCCTGGGGTCCAGAACCCTAAAGTAAGTTTTTCTCACTTATCTCTGAGTTCCCAGCAAGCAGTGTCTAGCACACAGTAGGTGCTTGCTCAATAAGTGTTTATTCAATTGTGTTGGAAAGGCTCTGAGGGGGTATCCTGGGTGTGGGGCACCAGAGACGTGGGACTTGGCTAAGGGGGTGTGGGGCCCACCTTGGAGCTCCAGTCACTGTGGAACCAGGCCGTTATGCAGGGCCCCATGTCACAGGCCTCTCTGCTGGGGGGCCTCGGGGGGCCTGATGCGCACTCTCGTTCGCTCACTTCATCACCGTTGTTTCCAACACAACGAACCTGCCGGCTCCTCTGGCCGCGCCCGCACCGCACAGAGCACTGAGGAGAGGAGGGGGATCCAAGGAGCTGGGCTTCCCAGGTTTCCTCACCAGCCTCCAGCTCTATGGCTTTTGAACCAGATCTGCCTTTGATCCCTGGCTCAGGGGTTACATGGCTTTGTGGCCTGACGAGCAGGCTGAGCCTGGGGCTCAGGGAGCCCCAGGGAGTCAGAACGAGAGACTGACTCTCGTTCAGTCTCTTAGCTGACTGATAGATTGGGGTTCCATATGAGATCTTGTTTATAAAAAGTTTCTGCTGATTAAAAAGAAGTTGGAGGGGCCGCCCCATGGCTTAGCGGTTAAGTGCGTGCGCTCCGCTGCTGGCGGCCCAGGTTCGGATCCCGAGCGCGCACCGATGCACCGCTTGTCAGGCCATGCTGTGACAGCGTCCCGTATAAAGTGGAGGAAGATGGGCATGGATGTTAGCTCACGGCCAGTCTTCCTCAGCAAAAA